GGTTTAGCTCATTAAATTTAAATAATTTCAATTAAAACACTTTTAATAGCATTTTAGCTATTGCTTAGCTACAAGCATTCTTGTTAGAATTACCAGACAATGCTATTATAACTTTTTAACAAAAAAATGTAGTGCAGGTTATCTGCAAATCTTGACAATTTGCCTTGATGGCAGTTTAAGCAGACTTCCACATGGATCTCTGACATTGTCTGCATCGCACTAATACTCTATGCTTTTGTGATTCTAGTTTCACAAGCACACATCTTCTAACACTCTTAAGAATTAAAACAAACAAACAAACAACAAAAACCCACAAATATCTCTTCAGTTGGTTTGTTAGTGAATTCAAGGTTATTTCAAGGATCCTTTTGTCTTCCCAGTTTTTATGGGAAAACAGTATTAAAATTTATCCTGTTCTGTTTCATCAAACTGTTTATTTTTATGTCAAGGCAGTGAAGAACAAGGTTATTTGCAAGGCACAATGGCAACAGTGGCAAAGGCCATTAGTAAATAAACAGGGATAAAGCAGAGGCCATGTAAATATTTCTACGGGTGCAAAACCCTAAAATGTTAATACAGCTGGGAAACAGAAGAATAATAATTTTAATTCTTGTTACACTGACTTGAAAATGTAATCTCACGATTCTATTTTGAAAACAAAAATGCATTGAAACTGTGGTTTTCATTCCCAAAAATTCTTTATCAATGCAATTGATCTGGAATAAAACATTCAATAGCTATAGTGGCTGGAGAAATGTTGTCTCTTTCAGAATGCATTACTTTTATTTTTAGCATTTAGCTAATAGTATTTATATAAGGCTGTTAGTTAAATACTACACTGTAAAGTTTTTAAAAAGGAAACTGATTTCCAATCTAGTTTTCACCAGATCAAAAGCAATAATGTAACTTATCTTGGGCCTTTTGAAAGTGTACAAATTTGCAGTAGCAACATTGCTGTATTTCTGAAAGCAAAACTGAGGTTACAGCAGAGGGTGGGAAACAGCCTGCGCACGTGTGTTTCAGCTGTTAGCTGAAGTCATGACAAAGCTGCCTGGACTAGGACCCTCAGAGTTCTACTCATACATCCCTCAAAGGAACATATTTCTAAGTACTCTACTCAGACATGCAGTCTCCTGTTTCCCATTTCCCAACTCTCTGGCCAGAAAAGCCTTGATCTTCCAAGTCCTCTTAAGCCAACCTTTCATTGGAGGTATTTCTTCTCATATCACCCTAAATCCTCTCTCAGTCCAGTTCCCAACTTCTCCCAACCCAGAGACCTGGACTGGGAGAGACGCCTACTCTTTTTATTCCCTGCTCTGATGTTCCTCAAACCTGAGTGGCAATGTCTAAGAATCTTCTGGGTTTTTTTTCTCCAGACCACTCCTTCCAGAGTCCAACAAATACCTGACAGTCTACACCTCCTTCCTGTTGTTCTCTGCATATACAACCTCTGCTGATTCCCACACTCTGGGCCTAAATGGCACAAAACATAACAAAAGATTCTAATATGTTTGCTAGTCATGAATTACACACAGAGTGTAAAGGTTTAAATGATCCAAATGTTAAACCATGTTCACTGTCTTGAAGTGAAGATTTAAAAAGCAGTGGAAGACAAGCCTATATTCCAGCTCCACAAGTAAGAATCCTACTATGAAGCCCAAGGGATGAAGGACTGGGAATGGAAAGACTAATTTGCTTTCTTCTTTTGGTGCAAGCCAGAAGTATGCATGGAATCACCCAGTGAAGGTTGCCAACAATTTGCCAGATTGACCTGAAGGGAGGAACACAGATTTCTATCTGCAGGAGGTAAAGAGATCAAATGCATCTGAGACCTTCCAGATCCTTCCAAAAGCCCCTGTAAAAAAATGAAACCAAACACAAAGTATTCTACCACTACTTCAGTTTACAAGTCTGGAACAAACAAAAGTGTTATGAACCTAAAAAACCCAAAGTATTAGACTCTTAAAATCCTAAACTGAAAGAAGGTACTACTCACACTTCCAAAATCAAGCATCTCAAACTCTACAATGAGATGGAAAAATGGAATTTCATCACTGAACTGGGCTATGAAGTCCATGATGTGGTTTGGAACACTTCACAGAAGATCCAATTAGAAACGAATGGATCAGAAATCAAAAACAGGATTTCAGAATTTATTTCAGAAAGCCTGCACCAGCAGATTTCAATGTTAGGGAGAAAAAAATACAACAAACAACTTCAGCAGCTCTCTAGCTGCAGGTGAGAACTGTTCCTATATCCCCAGGGGATGTGGGATACCTGAGCATACAAGATACTTGCAGTAATAGACTTAATGCTTGATGTGCCAATTTTGAAAGAGAAGACAAAAAAACCCCCAGCATGCTACCTAACTCATATTAAAGACAAATTTAAAAAATAAATAAATAAATAAATAAATAAATACAATGTGGGTGGTAGTCGTGACAACCCACTATGAAAGTAAATATCATAAAGTCAGTAAATACCACTGCTTGGTGCTGCACATAAAAGACATTGCATGGGCTTCTATCACATATAATTTCAGTTTACAAGTCTGGAACAAGCAAAAGTGTTATGAACCCAAAAAACCCAAAGTACTAGACTCAAAATCCTAAACTCGAAGAAGCTACTACACTGATCAGTTGACAAATCCTTCCCTATGTCATTGAGCTAAATCTTCTCAATATATTTCTATATGAGGTGGGGGCTCATTCTCAATATTTATACTAAATAAAATATGCTAAATATTGCCTTGTTACTTATGCAAAAATCTAAAAATTATTAAAGAAAATTTGCAAAGAAGCTACACTGTATTACACAATTAATGTTCAGAAAAAGTACATATAGACAGATTAAATGCCAGATTAAAGACATTAGAAAATAACATTTCCTATTCAGCATCTATGTAAATAATCTAAAAGCAGAAAGGAATGATTAAAAAATGTTAAACTGAACTGTGGAATTGATAAAGATTGACTTCTAGCAGATAAATGAGAGTACAGTGTGAATTAAAACTATGGCATGGTTGCTCAAATTCAAACATTATGCTAGAGTTCTGCTTTTGTGTTTTAGTTTCCATTAAAAATTCCTGTCTAATGCTTTGGTCTTTACAGTATCTAGAGCTTTGCATCAGGTACGGCTCTTTCCTAAGTAGTACTATAAGTAGTGAGGATTCTGTAAAATTTCTGAAAAACTGAATGACAGAGAAAAAAGGAGTAAGCTTTAGCTTTCTCATGTGTATCAAATTTGCCAGCATATAATATCATACTGTCTCATTGAAATACCTCATCATATTCTTATATAAAATAACTAATAGATAATATGCACAATTAAAGAGAACATTTTAAAAAATTATCAAAAGCAAAGCAACACTCTGCAAGCATCATATTTCAATACTGAATAACCACTGCTTCTTTTATATCTCTTGGCTAATATTTTAATATTTTTTTTTCATGAGGCTGAGTCAATGGCTGCCTTTTAATAAAATATTAATGCTTAACAAAAGAAGATAGTAATTTGTTTGGAAAACAGAAATTTAGGCAGGTGACAAGTAAAAATAATGATAATTAAAAAAACACAACAAAACAATTTACTTACATGTCACTTAACAGCATTTAAAGAAACTTTTGTTAAACATAACTTGGAGGAAAACCAACTTGGCATTAATCTCTAGTTGGAGACATGAGGTTTGCAGAACAGCTAATAGCACTCCATAACTTGGGCATATGATCTCCTGCCCAGCAGCAAATTAGTTTGTGTTTACCAATGGGTAAACACGTTATCATTACAAGCCTCTACCAAACACTGATTCTATAAATATTCCAAGAGCAGCACGACTGAAATACCCCAGAGTTGTGCAGATGTAAAACTTCTCCAGCTCCTCCAGCTGCCTGGCTAACCAAAGAGGCCTGGCTATCTATCTGCTCACTGTGCAGCTGCTGACCTATGCTGAATGGCCACTGAGTCAGTCAGCAGGACACAGCCCTGCCACCTGGGTCATCTGCCAGTTGGTGACCTCTCACCAAGCTTCCAGAGCAGAAACAGGTAGGGCTGCTGGCTCTCTGACCTGCCAGTCACCTTGGCAGGCTGTTAGGCTAAGCAAGGGTGTTAGAGATAACTTCACTGGAGATTCTGCAGTGTCTGTATTTTCTCCTCATCAGCAATCTGCACTTTCACAAAAAGGAAATTCCCTTTTCTGATTAGATATAATTCAGTTATGTTAGGGGAATTCTGCTTGTGTCAAAACTGAAGTCTAGAAAATCACATAATTTGGAAACTAAGAGACCAAATCCCATTAGTGAGGTAACTACACTTCAAAGTTATTACCCTGGGATGTTGAGAACAGATTGTCAAGGCTTGACCAGTGTTCAGAGTAATACCCTTTGTGACTCATGTATGAATCCCTGGTGCTACCAACAGAGACATGGAGCATGTAATGAGTGACTGCAGGACTCTGAAGGAGAAGGCAAAGGACACAGAGGCCCACACAGTTCTCCTTCATATTCCCCAATACAGTCAAGGGAGAGGTTCCTGTAGGAGACTGAGCCAATACCTGTCTGTATGTCTGGCCTAACAGAACAGGCTTTAGCCTTCACAACCATTGAACCCTCTTTGAGGAGTGAGGGCTGCTGGGCAGAGGTGGGATCCATCTGGCAAAGCTATCAAAAGCATGATAGTTTGTTGATGTGGCTGCATGATCCAAAATGGACTTGCCTGAAAGCTAATATGGAAAAATTAAAGCTTAGCAACTCCAGCTTCCCAACTCAGTAGATGACGAGGATAGTGCCAGAACAAGGGAGGGTGCAAAAACAGGTGAGTGGGGACAGAGCAGCCCCATCTTGGTGTGCAGCAGCCTTCACTTGTACTGGATGAAACCTTATCTTCTCATGACCTAGTTTTCTGCAGCTTTATTTCCTGCGGTCGAGGTCACACAAACCCTTTGTGAACAGGGTGAAGGCCAAATGAAGTTGCTACCTGCAGAGGGAGCACTTAGAAAGACTTGCCTGAATTCTTGAGCAGGTTCAACAGCTGACCCCAACTGTTTCTTTCAGCCAAGGTACCCTGCTCTGTCCAGATGTCATTTTCCATGATAATTATTAGGACAGGGAACATAGAGGCAGACCCCTACACACAAGAAACATAAGAAACGAGGCAAATGCTCATTTTCCTGAGAAAACTCACTCTGGATAGAAATTGTTAATTGACTTAAAATTTATTTTTAAAAAAACAACAAAACTAATGGGACTTCCCTTCTTGAAGATAAAATAATGGAGTAGTGGATTTCTTCCCTGTTAAAGGGTTTTTAAACATGGAGAAAATTTCACAAGCTGCATTCCAATGCTCTCTCCCATCCAGGCAAGACATATTCAATATTTTCATTAACAATCTGGGTAACAGAATGACTGAGATGGAATAAAAAGAAAAAAAAAAGTTGAACAAACTGAGTGGTCCTGATAAAAACTATTGAAATTTAGCAAAGGGAAAAATAGTGTTTAATAAGGAGATACCAAATTTACAGATACATTTGGCAGTAACTATCTAGAGTATGGATCTAAGATAAAAAATAAAATTCAGATGCTACTGGGAAAAAAAAAAATCGCATTTGGAGATAAGCAAGACCAGAGATACTATCACTTTGTTTTGAGGTGATAAGGCAGGCGTTACAGACACGAGAACCTCTGTTTTCAAGTTAGTTAGATGCACTCCTGCTAGAAGTGGTGTAAGTCAATGTTGTCCAAGTTTTTGACCTGATGCATCACAAACAAAAAAATTACAAAGTTAAAAGTTACCAAACTAGTACAGCCAGAATGGTAGAGCTGAGCTCATATGAAGAAAATGCAAATGACTCTTTAACAGTCCCACCAATTGCCAGTCAACAAACAGCAGAGCTGAAGGGTGCTCCAAAGCATCATCAGCCTTAGAACCTGACTGGAGAGTCCTACCACTAATACTACAATTGCCAGGCATGTGACATAGCCTTCGTATGGAACCACCTCATAAGCCAAATTACCTTTGATGACTCCAGGGTCAAAGGTCTGAGTACACAGGACACATTGTGAAGCATCTTAGGCTAAGGAAGCTTGAAGTTTCTTCCAACTCACCTGTCCCATGTGAACTCTGTAGAAAGTCCTAAACAGAAGCTGTGACCCTAGGTTACCTTCCTGACTCATTGCTTCCAGTTTGATGAGGAAAAACAGAAAGGAAAAGAACCCAGAACTCAAGTTTGGCAAAAGCTGCAAATAAACTTATTCGGAATTGCTTGCTAGTGTTTATGCTTAGAGGGTTCTCAACCTTAGAGTGGGCTTTGCAGCCTTAGATATTTTTTTCCCAGAACCTTTCAGTCAAAACCACCATAAATGCTTCAATCAGCAATATTGGGGTTTTGTCTGTAAACTGTCACCCCTCCTCATACTCCAGCACCTCTGACCCTAGTGCACACAGGAGCAGAGACGTGATTCTCCCCCTGTCCACAGCACTGGTGAGGCCTCACCTCAAGTACTGTGTGCAGTTCTGGGCCCCTCACTTCAAGGATATTGAGGTGCTGGAGCAGGTCCAGAGGAGAGCAACACGGCTGGTGAAGGGACTAGAGGGAAAGTCTTATAGGGATAGACTGAGGGAGCTGGGGCTGTTTAGCCTGGAGGAGACTCAGAGGGGACCTTATCACTCTCTTCAACTACCTGATGGGAGGTTGTAGTCAGGTGGGGACTGGGCTCTTCTCCCAGGCAACTAGCGACAAGACAAGAGGGCATGGCCTGAAGCTGCTCCAGGGGAGGTTTAGGTTGGATATTAGGAAGTACTTCCTCACAAAGAGGGTGATTAGACATTGGAATGGACTTCCCAGGGAGGTGGTGGAGGCACAGTCCCTGGATGTGTTCAAGGAAAGGCTGGATGTGGCACTTTGTGCCATGGTCTAGCTGATGTGGTGGTGTTACGTCATAGGCTGGACTTGACAATCTTAGAAGTCTTTTCCAGCCTTGGTGATTCTGTGATTAGGAAGAAATTCTTCACCATGAGGGTAGTAAGGTGCTGGAGTAGGTTGCCCAAGGAGGCTGTGGAAGCCTCCTCCCTGGAGGTGTTCAAGGCCAGGTTGGATGAGGCTTCGTGCAGCCTGGTCTAGTGTGAGGTGTCTCTTCTCATAGCAGGGAGGTTGGATCCTGATGATCTTTAAGGTCCCTTCCAACTTTAACCATTCTATGATTCTAAGAGCTCAGCAGTGCCTCAGGCCCGGCTGCTGCAATCCTCCTTTTCCCAGCCTCTCTCCCAGCGAACTGAGTGTCTCCCCCACCCCACGGAGCTGCTCGGGGGTCACCACAGGGGAGACACCACCCTGCCCTCCTCCACGACCAGCCCCTCTGCTGAGTCCCTGGCCTCTTGGGGCAGGAGCACCTCACCTTTTATTCCACCCACCGAAGCAAAGGAAAAGCAGCATCCTCAGCCCCCGTGCCATGGTTTGACTCCAGATTGATCGCCAATTAAACCAATGACAACAGTGCTCTCAATCCCTTCTCCCACCTACCCAGGTAAAGGAAAGGAGAGAGAAAATAAGGAGAGAGGCTTTCTGCATTGAAATGTAAACTAGACAGCTTTAATTAAATACTAATGATAAAAGAAAATATGTACAATATATACAAGCATGTTCAGGAATGTACAAAACCTCTATTGACTCCCCCTACCCCCAGCAACTCCCACGGCATCTCCTGAGCTGTGGACATTCCCGAAAAGAGCGGCAGAGCTGGCAGGAGCTGAGGGGAGAGTGATGAGGGTGAGGAACGCACAGGCGCAGGGATCCACGGTGGTGGACAGAGTCCTCCACAGCCCCCGGCCATGGACGGAAGAGAAAGGAAGAAGGACCTTGACTTCCACGATCCCTGAATTGATGCCGATTCCTACATGGCAGGAATACTTCGACTGGTTAGTTTTGCCACCTGCCTGGTCGGCTCCTCCCTGCAGGAGGGTTGGAGAAACGAGTCTTCTGCTTTAAGAAGCGTCCGAAGCAGCAAATCCAACAAGCAAAGCACGGTGTCCTCGGTCTCTCGGCAGTACCTATACCCACCAGCTGGAAAAATTAACGCTAGTCTCAGCCAGCGTGCTGCTTGGAAGGGAGTTCACTGAAGAAAAAAATAAAATAAGCAGTAAAACCGGCTCCATCCCGGCTCCACCCGGGGCACCCGTGAGGGCGGGCGAGAGCGGGAGGCTCAGGCAAGGCCAGGCCAGGCCAGGCCAGACCCCGGGGGTCCCGGCTCCCAGGGGGTCCCGGCTCCCAGGGGGTCCCGGCTCCCGGGGTTCCCTGCCGCCCCCCCTGGGAGGGCCCGCCGGTCAAGCCCCGCCCCGCCGCGCGCGCCGCTACCTCCGCACTTCCGGGTCGGGGGCGGGGC